GATGATTGTGGTAGTTATGTTTGTGTGTCAACTTGGCTGGGCCTGGTTGAATGGCTGGGCAGCTGGTGGTAGTTATTCCCCATGATGAGACTGACAGTCAGCTCCATGGCGGGATCTGCCACAAGCAGCTGAGTAGCTGCCTTTGGGATGTGGTTTGCTTCCTGTGTTTAAGGAGAAGCCTTGGGAATGGTCCCTAGCCTATGGCACGTTGGACCCTGCATGTAGCCGTGTCGTTGCCTGACATGCTCTGCCAACCTTGGGACTTAAATGGACTTAATGGCCTGCCGTGTGGTCTGGTAACATCGGGACTGTGCCTTTTTCCTTGTCAACCTTGGGGCTTCTCAGCCTCATCAGCCAGCAGCTGTCTAAGTGAAGAAACACCTCTAGCTCCAGTGGGCCGGGAGCAGGAGGCAGAGCTGGACCCCAAGGTTGAGGGGCTTTCACCTAGCCCCTAGAGCCTGGCACTTTGAACTTGGACTTAAAGCCTCCAAATTGTAAGAATAACCTCCTGTTAGTTAAGGCCATCCCATTGTGGTATATTCTTGTCAGAGCGGCACTAGGTAACCAGAACAATTACAAAGATAAAAAATATATGTAGATGCAAAATATATCTGTATGACTTTGAGGTAGGGACCCTTATTTTTATTAGACCCAAATGACCTATTTAAAAAAAAAAAAAAAACGAGCATTTTGATCTCATGATGCATTTACTTTTAGATAAAAATGAAAAGACAAGCCACCCACTAAGAGAAGGTATTTGCAATACTTTCTTTGACAGTTAGTACACAGAATCTATAAAGAACTGCCAGTTAATAAGCAACAGACAACCTAATAGAAAAATGGGCAAAAAAAAAAAAAAAAAATCCAGTTCACAGAAAAGGAAACCAAAATTGCCAGTGAATGTGAAAATTTCCTTAACCTCACCAGTAATGAAGGAAATGCAAATTAAAATATGATATGTTTTGAACACATCAGACTGACAAACCTTAAGCCCTGCAGTGTATAGCTTTGTCGAGGAAATGGAAACTCTTATTCTGAAGATAAAATTGAAAGTGCATACAGTCATTTTGGGTTTGTCAATGTCTAATAAGGTTCAAGATAAGCAGGCAAGAGTCCCTGGGCATTGCAGATGGTTAGCACGCTTCGCTGGGACCCAAAAGTTCCACCCAGAGACACCTCGGAAGAAAGGCCTGGGGACCTACTTATGAAAACTCAGCCACTGGAAATCCCTAGGGCATGTTCTCCTCTGAACCCCATGGGTGTGCCAGGAGTCTGGTCACAGCAACTGTTTTTTTGCTTCGTTTTTAATGATAAAGCAATTTCACTTTAAGAGATGTATACCCTAAAGCAGGAGTCTGGTTACTGTTGTTGACAAGTCAAATCCTGCCCACTGCCTGCTTTTGCAAAGTTTTACTGAAGCATAGCAATGCCCATTCATTTACATAGTGGCTTCCACACTATGGTAACAGTTCAGTAGTTGCAACAAAGGCCATATAGCCCACCACACCTGAAATATTTACTGTCTGGCCCTTTATAAGTATCTGTCAACTCTTGCCCGTGAGTATTTCTCATGTGCACAGGAAACTTGTGCAAGTGTTTTTTCAACCCAGACTTGTTAGTAATAGCAAATAATTAGAGATCACCTATCTATGACGCTGACAATGAACAGAAATGGGTAAATACATGTATTTGGATAATGGAATAATACACTGGAAAAGTGAATGAATTAAAAGTATATATATCCATAAGGATTAATATGAAAAACAATGTTGAACATGAAAAGCAAGTTGCAGATGGATATGTTCAATGTGTAATATTATTATAGAGGTTAAAAATATCCATAACGAAAGCATATATTATTTATGGAGAGAAAGGAGGGGAGGAGAATGATTGGGTAAGTACACAGGTAAGATTTTTAAATCTGAAGCAACTATAAAGGGTTAAGATTTTATAAAGCTGAGTGGGTTGTAGGTATACAGGCATTTGTTTTATTATCACTAGACTTTTTTGTATGCTTGAATTTTCATTACAAGAAATTTGGGTGGGAAGGTGTATTTGAAAGCCCCCTTCAGATATAGCTACTGCGGTGGCTGCTTTGGGAGTTCTGGTGGTGTAGTGCCTAAGGCCTTTGACTGCTAACCACAAGGCTTTCCGTTCAAACCCAGCAGCCACTCCTTAGAATGAAAGTTGGGCAATCTACTTCCATAGTGATACCACCTCGGAAACCCAAGGAGGGGTCACTATGAGTCAGATTTGACTCGGCAGTGGGTTTGGGTGGCTGCTTTAGTATACATTTCACTTAAAAACCCAGCGCCCTTGCTGAACCTCCCACACCTGAAAGGTAGATTTTTTTGTCATGTTCGTTACATTGAGTCCTGGCACCCAACAGGCTTACCAAACTAATGAAAGTGATTTTATTGCCTCTGACAGTAAGTGTGCTTAGTTGGTGATTTTCCTCAGTCTCGGTTCATCCAGAGCTAATTTCTGAAGTTGCAGTGCTGCCTGGTGCCATGGTAACAGTGGGTGGCTTGAGACTTTCCTTTTCCAGTACTATGAAATGGGAGCAAGGAGAAGAAGTATTTTTCGGTTCCTCTGAAATGACTTCAAAATTATGGCTCTCTTCAAGGCCACTCTGTGATCTTGAACATTAAAGAGAATTCTCAAAATCACTTCTAAAAATGTCAGAAGTGGTTTTGAAGGGGAAGCTAGGAACTCTTATTCTTCAGAGGCTAGGTTGGTCTTGCCATTACTACCTTCAATTGCTTAACACTATTCACTATTCACTGACATTCATCCTCCTGAATGTAAGTACTTACATAAATAGAGGATATATATTACCAACTGTACTGGAGTCATGTGTTCATGCAGCTGCTTCTTGACTTTGGGCTGTTAATAACACTCTTAGTCTCTTAATCATTTTATAGGAGAAGTTCCTGAGTGCATTTTCATCCTTGATAAATGCATGCCAGGATAGTGAAAGCATCTCTCTCCTCTTGTCCTCTAAATATGAAGCATTCCCTTTGTCCAGTCTTAGGAGAAAAGTCTAAATTCTGAGTAGTTTTTCTCTATAGACAGATCATAAATTAGACTGTGGTCTAACAGAAGTTGAATTAGGTTAAAAGGGTGTGGTAGTTAGCATGAGGGAGCTCTGGTGGCATAGTGCCTAAGGCATTGACTGCTAACCAGAAGGCTGGCGGTTCAAACCCACCAGCCACTCCTCAGAAGGAAGGTTGGGCAATCTACTTCCGTAATGATACTGCCTTGGAAAACCCAAGGAGGGGTTGCTGTGAGTTGAATCCAACTCAACGGCTTTGAGTTTTTTTTTGGTTTTGAGTTGGAATAGAATTAGAACCCTTCGATACTTTGAATAATAGTAACAGCTTGATATTAGTTGAATGCTTTAATGTTTGAACTAAATTGGCGCTCAGGACATGGACTACAGTCCACTGAATCATTTGTGAGATTAATATGCATTTGTTCAGCAAACATCAATTAAGTGTCTGCCCTGATTGTTAGACATAATGATGCCATTATAAAATGTTAGCACTGAAAAGGACTGAAGTGCTCCTAAGCCAAGCTTTGTATTACAATTGAGGTTGAAGTCCAGAGAGGGCTTATGTGTACCTGAGGTGACTCGTCCACATATTTGGAAGTGTTACATGGGCTAGGGATGTCAAAGGCTTGAACCAGATGGACAGTCAGGGCTTCCGGGTCTGGTGGTGTAAGTTCTTGTCATTTACATTGCAGTCACCCTAAATTTATGTCTTTATATTTATTATAACAATTTTCCAGCAGATGGCAGTAGAGTATCTTGAGGAAGAGGCACCTTTTTCTTACACAGGAGCCCTGGTGCTAAGTCACCAGATCTGGCAAGAAGAACATGAAAAGAATGAGAAGGTTAATGGAGCAGGAGGGAAAATGAAGCAGACTTAGGACCCTGGTTAACTGAAGAAGGTAGCAGGGAAATGAAGTATAGGAGATAGTGAAGGAAGAGCAAGGAAATAATTACCTTTTTATTTATTTATGCAAATAAAATGTCTTTCCCACAGCAATGTCTTCTGTAAATGTTTTAGCTATTGGTTCCAGATGAGATTTGAATTTTGATACATTGGCTTGTTTCTCAGAACTGTCTGCAGTGGATGTAAATCCTCCAAAGTCCATTTCAATGATGTAATCTAATTGGGGTTACGTAGTCTCAAAGTGAGGAAATTCAGATGTGACAAATGTTTCTGCCACATTGGTCATTTTTCTGGATTCTCCTTTGGGGCCCCTCCTCCACTGAAAGACACAAGGCCTACTTACCCCCAGGACTGTTTCTGGAAAATGAAGAAATGGAAGGAAATGACTGTTTGCCTGATTTCTGATACAAAATCATGGCCTATTACTTTCATTTCTCTTTCCTTCCCTAAAAATTTTCCCTTTAGAAATCATCCTTTCATCATGACACAATGCCCAGAGCCTAGACTTGGAGTCAGTAGTCACAGGTCCAATTCTAGCTTTGTGATCTGAGTCAAGTCACTAAACTTCTTGGTTCTATTTACATCCATAAAACAGGGAATGGTACGCATCTCACTGGATTATTTTGAGAATTGAATGAAGGAATAAGTTGAAAAGTGCTTTCTAAGCTGTAGAAGTGCAAGCGATGTGAAAAGTGAGGTGGTATTCAAAGTTCTCACAGTGCCTAGGCCCTTTAGTCTCCTGTTCATAGAAATTCCCTCAAACTAAGATCTTAGGAACTTCACTCTTAGACTGAAAATTACAATAACTCAGAAAGTACAATGCCTAGAAATCCTATAATAGTAGTTGTTGTTTTAGTTTACAGTGGCACAATTTCACATTCTTTGGGCAGGGGCCTATTGGATCTCTAGTTCCCACCCCTATTTCCTACGCAGCAAACCACATGGGCTGCCACGTAGTTGGTCTAAGCACATGGAGGTGACCCTAGCAGCAGCCCTGGTCTTTGGTATTGTATGTCCTAATAGGAAATACCTTCTCATCAGGTAAAGAGAGCTGCTTCGAGAGAATCGTGTCAAGATTTGGAAAGAAAGTCACATATGTAGTGATTGGAGATGGACGAGATGAGGAAATTGCAGCAAAACAGGTAAGTATGGAAAAGGAAATGTGTGTGTGCAGGAGTGCCTTGCGCAGGTAGAAAATGTGAAAACTCAGATGCCTTAGCAGTCTATGTACATTTGCCGCCTTTGCCCTTTTGCTTCCATTTTTCTTAAAGAGGAAGAGAGTCACATTTTCCCCAAAGGGGGTTTTTTCCCTCCAGGTTATTAGATCTTCCCCTTGCCTCTGCCACTCAAAAATCTTAAAAGTCTTTGAGCCCTCACAACCCAATATAGACCCATTTAAAATGGGACTCCCATCATTAAACCTGATGTGGGCCCCGCTGTCCTTCATCTTAGTGAGCAGCGCCCGTCAAGAAATCACACAAAGAGCATTTGCAAAAAGGCAAATCATTCTGACTTCTCCAGGCTTCAGATTCTCAAAACAAAATTGGGAGTTGTTTCTGTAGAGAAAGTCCTGCCTACCTCTGAGCCCTGGAAAGATTGTTCTGACTTCATTAAATCCATCATTATGTGCCCCCAACTGGAGATATCTCTTATTGATACAGGAAACAGTACATGAAAGAGTCTTAGCTGTGGAATTTAGAATCAGGTGGGTTCAAATCCATCTTAGCCATTTTATTAGCTTGTGACTTTGGACAATTTGTCCTCTTTCAATTTCTCCTTATTTTAATTGGGTGTTTTTCCCTCCTTACCTACAGAGTTTTCTTCTAGTAGCTGTTCCTTAGACTTGGAGGCAGTAGGTTGTCAGCAAGGATGAGTGTTCTAATATTCTTCATCCCGTTAACTTAGAAACTTTTAGCAACTACTAATGAGCTGTACGTATTGCATAACCCTAAATTTTCTGTTAGGAGCTCTGGTAGCATAGTGCCTAAGGCCCTTGACTGCTAACCAGAAGGCTGGCAGTTCAAACCCACCAGCCACTCCTCAGAAGGAAGATTGGACAATCTACTTCCATAGTGATACTGCCTTGGAAACCCAAGGAAGGGGTCGCTATGAGTCGGATCTGACTCCAGGGCAAATAACAATATAACAGTGAGCTGTGAGACTGGTCATCAGTGGCATTAGTACCTCATTTTATTTTCATTTGACACTTTATGTAGCAGTTATAAAGTGTCAAATGAAAATAAAATAAGGTACTAATGCCAACTGTAAGAAGCTTTGTTGTTTAGTTTAGTTTGGTTTTTGTTTTTAACATAGGTTATCTTTGAGCTTTGATTCTAAAATGCTTCTTAGAAATACTTGTTGCCCTCTTTGAGGAGGAAACTAATGTATTATAGGCATCAGTGTTTCTTAGCCTGAAAAAGAAGAGAGTAGAGGAGAGAAAAAGCCAGCTCATGTCATTTGCAGAGCTTGTGTCTCTAGACTGATGCCTGTGATCATCTACCAGAGAATAAGCCCGTCGGAAAATGCTTTAGAGCTTTACCTGGTTCAGCCTTCACCCTGTGAGGGTTCTTTTCTGCACCCTCCCTGACAGATACCTTTCTCGTCCTCGGGGAGGATACTGCTTCCTGGATAGCCTGTTCAACTGTGGGCTGTTGGGACATCCCGCCTTACAGTGAACTACAATTTATCTCTCACTTTCACATACTAGTTTGGCCCTCCTGAGTAAGACTTAACAAGTCTGCCCTTGCTTCTCTGTAATAATAGCCTGTTCGATATTGTGAGCATGTGAGCAGCTGGCTTGAAAAAAAAACATTGAGCCACATGGCAGAAGCACTTTGGTCTTAGATTCAATACTCTGAGTAACTGGGAAACACTTTGAACAAGATGATCAATAAAACTAATCTCCTTCAGCTTCATAGAACATGGTTTCCAACACTTGCATTTATCAAAGGCATCAGCCACATTACTGAGAATGTGACTTCCAGAGTGGTACACACTGACACAGTATTCTGGATAGGAGTCTGACCACATGGGCTATTTATTGTTTCCTAGATCTGTATGTTTTACATCTTGGTCATAGACAAGATGCCTTGTGTTGTTGTCAGGTGCCGCTGAGTCGGCTCCGACTCATAGCGACAACAAAACGAAACACTGCCCAGTCCTGCACCAGCCTCACAATCCTTGCTATACCTGAGACCGTCGTTGCAGCCACTGTTGTCGGCCTATTTCATTGAGGGCCTTCCCCTTTTTCACTGACCCAACACTTAACCAGGAGACACTTGGACCTTCTCCAGGTAATGGGCCCTTCTGACAACATGACCAAAGTAGGTGAGACGAAGTCTGGCCATTCTTGCTTCCAAGAAGCATTCTGGCTGTACTTCTTCCAGGACAGATTTGGTAGTTCTTCTGGGAGTCCATGGTACCTGAAAGTATTCTTCACCAACACCACAACTCAAAACCATCAACTCTTCTTTAGTCTTCCTTATTCATCTTCCAGCTTTCACATGCATATAAGATGATTAAAAATACCATGGCTTGGGCCAGGTGTACCTTAATCTTCAAGGAGACATCTTTGCTCTTCAGCACTTTAGAGAGGTCTTGCAGCAGAGTTGCCCAATGCAATACCTCATCTGATGTCTTGACTCCTGCTTCCATTGGTGCTGATTGCGGAGCCAAGTAAAATGAAATCTTTGACAACTTCAATCTTTTCTCCATTTATTGTGATGTTGTTTATTGGTCCATTTGTGAGGATTTTTGTTTTCTTTATGTTGAGGTGTAATCTATACTGAAGGCTGATCTTCATCAGTAAGTGCTTCAAGTCATCTACTTCGAGCAAGCTAGGTTGTATCATCTGCCTTTCTCAGGCTGTTAATGCGTCTTCCTCCAATCCTGATGCCCTGTTCTTCCTCATAAAGTCCATCTCCTCAGATTATTTGCTCAGCATACAGATTAAAATAAGTATGGTGAAAGGATACAGTCATGCAGGAGGGGTACAGGTCCCCAAAAGAAATCAGGGTAACTAGCTGTCCCTCTCTCTCTTCCAGCACAACATGCCTTTCTGGAGAATCACAAACCATGGAGACCTAGTGTCCCTCCACCAGGCTCTGGAACTTGATTTTCTCTAAGAACTGGAACAAGGAGCCTGCCTTATGAGCTCCTTTTCACTCCTGATGGGAGCTGGAGACCGGAACCTACCGGGAACACATCCTCTCTTTCTCTCCCTGGAGTGCTGGCGAGAACACAATCAGAAGCAGCCGCCAAAAGGGACGGGTCTTGTCTTTGCTAAGATTGACTGCAGCCCTGTGTTCATCCTTGTACAGAAACAAGAGACAGTTGGGTAAAGAGGACAGTAGGCTCGCCACAGCTATAGTGCTTTTAATTCTTCTGGTTTTTGTTCTGTTTTGTTTCAAAAAAATGAAGAAAAGGAAATTCTTGGGGCAGAGTTGCACTCTTAGTCCATGACCAGATTGAGAACTCCTTTTAATTTGTGGTGATAGGATAAATGCAGCAGACTTTTATAATAACATCTCTTGCAGTCTTTATAATCTCCTTAGCTGTAGAAGTTATTCCCAGTGGATGTATATGTTATTTTTATAAGTAAGGGCCTGGTCTCTAAAGCAAGTTTTCCCCCCTTTCTTTTTCTGGCCAGAAAGGGGTGTGTTACATTTCCTTGGGAAATAGTAATTGAAATATCTAAAATACCTCTCTGTGACGATAGCACCTCTAGCTGCTCCAGTGGTCTGCTCTCTAGGATGGTTCCCTTCCCGTTCTTCCATCTCCTAGGTTGCCGAGCCGTGAGGGCACTGGGCACTGATTAGATTCTGGCATTTCCCATTCTCAGAACCTTAGTTTCTTTCCCAATCTTTCTTCCCCTTTGTCCCTAGAAACTTCTCTTAGACAGTTAATTCCAAGCCTTCAACTTGGCTATGTCCAGGAGGCTTAGGCTCCAAACTGAAGAGAAGTAGATAAGGTTCCTTATACATTTCAGCTATGAAGAAAATCCCCTTTGCTTTCTGAGACAGAGGAGAAGAACCCTTCCCTAACAGATGCTTATCCCTACAGCCTTCTCTTCCTTCTTAGTCATCAAGTGCTAGATTCTTACACCATTCTTGCCCTCTGCACCTCATAGCCACCCCCGCGTAACTCTGGTCAACCCCTGGACATTGTACCCAAGAAGTCAAGTTTAAGACCAGATTCATAACTATATTTTGGCCAAAACTAACAATGTATTTAACTTCTTTTGAACTCCTTGAATCCTGTGAGGATATCCGGGGTCTGTATTTACCCAGATCTCTGCCTAAAACCAAAGAGCAGACTGTTGTGATCAAAACTCCATTTCCCATGGATCACCCTTCCCACCTCAAATCCCATTCTAAAATGGGAAACCAGAAGGACTTTACTGATTTTAAATGAGAGTGTCGGACCCCCGTCTTCATACTTGAAAACTTAATCCTGGGCCCAATAATAAGAGCAGCTCTCAGCCTGATCTCTGGGGAGAATGGGGTGTGCAGCCACTAGTCCCAGACTCCAGCCCAGCTGTGGTTTTTGATGTTTCATGCCTCAGACCTGCCTGGCTGTCTGTGCAGGCAGGATAAACCTCCTGAGAGCTGAAGAAGTTCTACCTTTCCCAGGCTGCACAGAGAGAGGTGACCTCAGAAGGATGCAGTCTGTCCTCAGTGGGAGGCATCCTTGACTAACTCAGCTAAAATTCCTTGCCCCAGAGGTTCTGCATGTCCCCTTTTAGAGCTGGCGCAGAGAGGCCAGACTCCTTCCAGTACCAGGTCACCCAGACAGCAACAGAGAAAGGCTGGTACACATTCCCTCAGAACTGACTGAGAAAATGCTTCATGACTCGCAGTTTTAGGGAGAAGTTTTTGTAGAGGCACTAATGTCAGTGCCCCGTTACTCTACTGCCTCTTTAACCTTGTTGCTGTGTGGGCGTGGGGAACAAGAAGTGGTCTGAGGTGGACTCCCTGGTCTATGTTCAGCATCGTTGCTCAGATGTTGATCTGCCTTGCTTAATGGTTGATCTTAGAAAGCTCTAAGATGAACTTTTACTCAGATCCCAAGCCATCCCTCTACTGCCAGCAGTAGAGAGCTGTTATTTCCTGCTCTGCCTGTATGGCACCTGTTGGTGCTGTGCCCTGAGCTTGTGAGGCTGTGCAGTATATGGATATTTACCCATCAACTTTTCCACCTCTGGCCTCATTCTCGCACACAGGTACAACACATGCTTCCTGTTCCCTGCCCTCCAGGAGAAGCTCTAAGATTGTGACTTGGGCTCCTTTTTCAGTACCCTTTCCCGCTTGTCCAGCTTAGCTCTTTCCAAAAGGGACTTGAATTTGGCCAGGAGAGGTGAGGAGGCTTACTGAGCAGAGCGGTGTCTGTTCGTTCTTGGTTGCTGCCGTCCTCATCTCAAGAGCAGACAGTGAACTGGAGCTTCCTGGCTTTACTTAGACAGAATGAATTGTCTAGGGAACACAGTGCTCCTCTTACCCGGTCTTCTCCTCCCTCCCCTCTCCCTCCCCACCACAAAGATCTAGAAAGGAAAATAAGTGGGTAGCATCAGAAGCTGCTGGAAACTGAGGGCCTAAGAATACTGTGAGTCCTTTCAGCAGAGGGGAAGCCCTTTATATTAGAAACCATCTCCATGAAATTAGCCAAATGATGAGTACTTCCTCGGGCTGGGCACTGGGTTCTGTAAGGTGGGTGTTCACATTTTGTGGTGATGGCTGTCTCTAATAGAGGATCTGGAGTTGCCAGGTGTGTCCTGGGGTTATGGCTTGACTTTCGAATGTAAAACTGACTGTGCCTTAGCGTCACCCTGTCCTGTGCCCCTGGGGCAGCTGGTGGTGTCCAGGAGAATAGGCACCTGCTCCAGATTGACATGCCTGTGTGGGCTTTGGTTTGGTTTGGGGTGTTCCTGTCTTCTGCTCTGCAAGTTGGGGGCAAAGTTAGTGTCCCAAGAGACTTGTGCCACAGCTTGTTCGCAGTTTACACAAACTCAGCTTTAAAGCTCTGAGTAGAATCTGATTGGCAAACTCTAGCTGCAGCATATGGAACTTTTAGATGTTCACTACCTAGAATGGGTGTCAGTGGCACTGAACCCCGGGGGAAAGGACAATAGGGGCAGAGCCACATTCCCCCTCTTCTTGAGAGAGCCATGTTCTAGGCCAAAGGATGGGGAGCTTGGGAACTTGCTCTTACTCCTCCAGAAGGGGGCAATTAGGGCCCTTCTTAAGCTGGCTTCTAATTCTTACCATTAAATTGGTTTCCTTTCATCTAAAAATTGTAACTCTCAGAGACTTACTCTGTAGAAGCCAAATGTGAGTTCTAGATTCTAAACTATATTAAACCACAAGAGAGGAAATCTCCTTGTGCCCAACTTGATCAGCAGACCTGTCTGTCCCTTTCCTGAGTCAAGTAGTTCCAGCTAGCAAGGCCCCTTGGTTAGTTCCTAACGCACTGACAGGAGCCAGCCCATTAAGGACGACTTCTCCTCAAAACGTGACTCTCCCTCTGGACTTCAGATGCCTCTCTAAACAGGAAAAGGCATTGATTAGATTGGTTGTATTTATGTGACTGCAGGCATTTGTGGCTGTAGAGTCCTTGACCATAATGTTATATGTAATGGGAACTATCTTATAAACTTGAAAAATAAAGTTTTTATTTTCTATACAGTTTGTTCCTGTGTCTTTTCTGAATAGGATCAGCCCAGTTGCCCAGCTGGGTAAGGTCCAAACTAGGCCTTCATAAAAATTCATTAATTTCACCAAAAAATTCAAAATTTAAAAAAACCTAACCATTTGTTATAAATACATGGTATGTGGGAAAATAAAAATATTTTTAAATAATTTGCAAGGGAGAGTATTTCTTGTTTCTAAACTATATTGCTTTTAGAAGTTTAGGACTGGAATGATAAGAGGTTTTATTTGCTGTCAAATGTACTAAGATTTAATTATAGAAAAGAAACATCAATACCATGCTGTGCTGAGCTTAAGTGCAAAAGCAATAAAACTGACAAAATGATATCAAACCTGTTTGATTTGGCCTGATTTCATATCAACTACTTTATCTCATTTAATTTCTTCAGATTTGGATCTAAGTGTATCCCACTGGTCTGGAAAACAGTTCATCTGTCAAGAATCCTTTTGCCTTGTATTCTAATGAAGGAGATTAGAATTGCATGTCATAGTATGTTTCTTCCCTAAATTAATACCCCAGAAAAGAAGGGGTTGTCTTGTATTTCAAACCACAGTAGTTGAAGTAAACTTGTTACTTGGCTGTATTCTTAGTCATAAGTATAAATGTTAGAAGTGTTGTCTGCTTTTCAAGCCCAAAGAGGAGTTAACTGTCTCCCTTTCCCCACGGTAAGTGCACCAGCACATTTCTCAAAAACCTTTTGGTGGCAGGTAGAAATGAGCAATTTTTCATTCTTCAAAAACAAATTTCTGAACATTAAAAAAATACATTTCTTGATGGAAATTGCAAAAAGGATGTAGGGGCAACGTCATCTGACCTCTTCTACCTTCACAAGGGTGAAGGAGGACCAAGATCAGCAGCCCAAGGCTGATTCCTATGAGGTAGAGGTCAGACATGCTGCCACCCACCAACTTTTTAACCAATTCTGACACCAGCTATCGCTCTCACGGCACTCTCTTCTCTGCTGGGTATGATAATCCACTGCAATGTCCACACACAACTCACAGACAGTACTCATGATTATGGGGTTTATTACAGAAATAACAGTTTACAATTCAGGGTCAGGAATGCTGGGGATGCAAAGAGCAGGACCACCATGCCCAAAGGCTTGCTTCTGGCCTGTCCCAGCAAGTGTTACAAAGCTCTTTCAGCTCTGCAGATAGGTGCACCCCACTCTGCCAGCAAGCCTCCTGCCTGAAGCACTCGGTTCTCTCTCACCTTCGGCCAGTGGGCAAGCACGTGCACCCCTCCCCCAATCTCATGCCAGTCTCAGGAGGCACACCACTTCCACCTTCTTTCTTGGTGGTGGTGAGATTCCCCCTTTCCACCTCTGGGATGGCTCATGTAAGCTTTGCAAGATGGCAAAACTGACTAATCCCATGGTAGGGTTCCAGACACCTTATTTGCATAGTCCCACCCCCCACAAGGGAGCCACATACTTTATATTATTAGCAAGCCATACAGTCCCTTTGGTGGACCACAAGCACCTCACATTTGCATAGTCCCACCCAATCATCTGCAA